TTAACCATGCAAAAACGGTCACGGACAGAAACGAAAAATCAGCTGGGTATGTGCACAAGCCCTCGAGGAAGCACTTTAGGCTGTAACATGCACTGTGCGAAAACTGTACAGACTACTACACCCTCGTCCAGAGCAGCTGACAGACTTCCTGTACGGCCTGTGAAATGATGATGCAGACCACGGCAGTAGATAGATTGGGCCTGCTTACATTTCACGAGAGTGTACGAATTAATTATTTAAAGTTCCTGCATGTAGACGGGGCCCGTCTCCTCCTGTTCTTGAGTTGCAACAGATGTTCTGGTGGTAAAGACGAGTATAGTTTTTCTGCAATTGCATTCGCTGTCTCTACTTACTACTTTTTACTCCCGAATAACTCAGAGATGTGCGTCAAATATTCACCATTTTTGGGCTCATCAGAAGCGCATTAAATAGTGGCTGAGGGTCTAAACGTAAGGATCAGGTGTCGAAGGCTATAAAAATCTCGGCCGCAAGTTGCGACAGCGTTGAGATACACTGTCAGACGCGCTTTGTGCAAACAACAAAGGGTAGGTGTAGCCCAAGGGTGAGCTGGCAGCGCCCCCCGCGAATTGCGGCAAGAGGTGGCGATTGCCTCGATTGCAAAGGCCGTAAGGAGAGAAAGAGAGCGCGCGCTTCCAGTCCGGCCGTGATGTAGCATGCATACATTTGCAGAATGATTGGCACACAACACCGTTGGTGGTTTCGACACTCTTTTATGGCTCTCAACAATGGAAAGACGGTATTATGATATAATTACAGAACACACAAAGAAGTTTCAAAGCAAACAGGTGCTGTCTGAAATTGTATCCACACAAGCATATACACTGCAAATATCCATGTACACACATACACTCTTAAGGCAAGAATAGCATGCAGTAACGAAAGCTAAACCAAGAACACCGAGAGCTAAGAATATCATGCTTTGCACTGGTGCTACTAGTTTTGACAGCCAAAAATCTGGAACTTTATTATCATAAATTAATCAGTTGGTTTGCTCACAAACAGTGTGCAGCTAAACTATGTTGCCATCACCTAACAATTGTTGCAATGGAGGTGCTTAAGTGGTATTCACTTGATGTCACTGGGTGCTCATTGGTGTGGCTTGTTTACAGTTGCTTACGGGCTCAAAACAAACCCCCCACCCCACCCCTCCCTTCTTCCTTGGAGTCTGCCAAGGGCGACTGTCCTGAAGGTGTGGAACGCATACTCCTAATCACTACGGAGACTTGCTGTTCGTGTAAGCACAGCAGTGACGACCACTACTATGGCCACTAATACGGGCTCAATCCCCACCCCATGCCCGTTTAGTTCTAGATGATCGTTGTACCGGCAAAAGTCTGTGTTACATAACTGCGCGACACACGTTAGAGACCCCAGGCTAGCGGTTGTACTGCATCGGCTAAATTGCTCATCTACAGTGTATACAGACATGTCGCATCACTTAAATTGACCAACATTGCGTAATCTGAATATTCACACACAACCAAAAAAACTGAAAGACCAGCTTGGATACAAAAACAACTTTTTCAGAGCGAACTGACATACATAGGGCAAAAAGGTCAGCAGACTGTCCTTACGAGACACTCACAGGTAAAAGATAACATGCCGAAACTGGAAGGAATACGAACAGACACTACATTTGGGTATGACGGCCTTTTTCAAGTGTTTCCCCTTCACTGGAAATCTGGGCATTTAAGTTTGACTTCCCTCTCATTATATTCTCTAAAATTGATAACATTTGGTAACAGCAAAAATTCTTCAGAGCAGTGACTGAGGTTGCACTAGCACAAAAAGTTTTAAAGTACATCATATGAAGATTCAAAATAAAAGTAAAAATAAAAATACAGTAAAAAATTTTCACTTTTATGAGCACCTCAGAATTTCAAGAAAATGAAGAAAAAACCATCCTCTTTCACCACCAATAATATAATAGCTTAATCACAGTTATTGGGAGCGTGTGGCATCAGGTACTATTGGAGCGCTCTAACGGACCGGGGTGTAACTTCAACGCAAGCAATGTGCATGAGCTGCAGTTGCTTGCCGGGTCGTTGGATACTCTTCTAATAGCTGGTGCCACGTGCTCCCATGTCCCAGCTAACGATGTACATTATTGGTGACGAAAAAAGATTTGCTTGGTCAAGATGTGACGCACATACGCCCCTGGACATCTTTGGTTGATGTTGCGTGCAAGGTGTCGAAGCCTTAACACAGCATATCGTATCACTTCCTTGGCAAGTGCCACCGCATGCATTGGCTCCTCGTGGACATGCACCTCGTTACAAAAACTGTGTGCATGCCTCTCATAAAATGCTCTATAGGAGAGCACTGTGAGCACAGCTACACTCGTTCATACTGCCTCCCCAGTTACTGCTCTGAAGACTTTTTCTGTTCCCTGCAGGAGCTGGAGGACTAGCTCCGAGGGGTACACGAGCCCCCCGTTGTTCTTGAGAGTGATAAGGATCCCGCCACGCTGTCATCCAGCAGCATGCTGATGCAGGATGGACCGCTGAGGGTTTTGGTGAGTCGCCGGCTGACGAAGTCTCCAATGTATTTAACCACTTCTGAGGAGAACTCGAACAAGGTAGCCTCACCCAACTCATAGATTATGGCTAGATGGTCAGCATCTTCGTCATCTTCAATGTCAGCAGTGGTGTCGATCGTCCCCTGGCTGATGGTCAGGCTTTCACCCTCAAGGTCTGCAGCCACGTTGGCAGAGGCAGGGGCCTGCACGCCAGCGCGCACCAGCAGCTTCCTGTAGGCATGCCGGAACTGGGCTGCTGACGGGTTGTTATTCCACCCACCCCTTTGCCGCACGCAGCTGAAGAACGTTTCCAGGTGGTCCTGGCTTGTTCGATAGGAGCACAGGTAGCTGAGAAAGTGAAACATGCGGGAAGACAATTTGTTTGAGAACATAAAACATACTCTAAAGCAAATAGAGAAGAGCATCTGCTCTGCTCCTGCACTAACCTGACTGCGCCACTGCTTAGCAGCTGGCTTGCGAGGCTCTCCACGCTCTTGAGTGTGAAGGCGAATGCAATCACAGACATGCGCCTGCCGCCCAGGACCACAGGTTCGCCGTCGGGCAGCTCCAGCTGCATGATGGTCTTGCCGACCCGCCTCCATTGTCCGGCTCCTCTCCTCGATGTTGGCTGTGTTGAATGGGTGCTTGTAGCTGTGAGCTACAGGGCTCCTCGAGTTTAACAAGCCGAAGCACCTGGATGACACAGAAAACCACAGTTTTCTGCACAGTGCTCTTATTGACGACCCATAAGTAAGGTTCCGTGTTTTAGGATAAATCCGGAAAACTCCGAAAAACACCCGCGGGTAAAATTTTGCTCAATTCGGATTTATCCTATAAACTCAGAATTTTAAGGCCCTCCCCCCCCCCCCCCCCCCAAAAAAAAATTATTGTTTAGTAAGGGACTGGATGAAGTCCTACAAGGAAAACCTACAACACAACGGACAGAGCAGGGGGTGTTACCCCGCCACTCACAAAAACTTATGTAAAAAGCAATCAGTTACTTGGCGCCTTTTACAAATGCACACATTCCCAAACCCAGTGACATACAGTCACCTGTATCCCGGGCTATATACAGCAGATTGTAAATTATGCTCAGGTAGGGCCGATCTTCACCACATCATGTGGCGTGCCCCCTGATAAGTACCCAAAAACACACCAGCTCATTACCTCCCCTTCCCATTACCACCCCAGAGCAGTGGGAGACTGCACTGCTTAGCTCAGACCCGGATCTCCAACTCCGGATCATCCAGATGGCCGAAGACGTCGCCAAAGCCCAAGGCCTGGCGGCCTCCTGAGGAAGAGGATGACGGGCCCTCCCACTCCCCTCCTTCTTCTACTAAAAATGTGATTTACGATTGGAACACGCCCCTTCCTGAGCGGAACTTTCCGCTGAAGGAGGGCGGCGCATAATCCAGCTCAGCGGACGGCGGGGTGACAATACTGCTCGTCAGCCAACAGTAATCCGCCGTTCCGATAGCAGACGACCGTCTGCTTTCGGAACAGCAGCTTACGGTTGGCTGCATCTTTGGTGCACCTTTAACATTGGCCTCCCCATTGTGACAGAATCACACTTTCGTATTATAGAAATGCAAAACCATTCCATATACTTACCTCGTAAACTGCTGACTTGAACACCTGCTTGTCGCCTAGGAGGTTTCGAAGAAGCTTGAGGACGTGGCAAGCGTCGAAGATGAAGTGTACCTCCTCGGTGGGTCAGGTCGGGTGCTCAAATATTGGCTGGAGGCTCTCGTAGTTTGTTTCGTGGACCTGTCACCCGAGCAGCTTTGCCATGGCAACATTTGCCCCAAGTCCATCGCAAACCACAGCCTTGACATGGGGGCCACACTTTTCAACGGCTGCAATGGCGTCTTCAAGGAGGCTTTTGAGGAGCTTCCCTGATGCTCCGTTCGTGAGGAAGTACCCAATGGGAATCTTCCAGGGTGATGCAAGGCCCACCGCCATGAAGACCAAAGCCTCCGTTGCCATGGGCACCTCGTCAGACTCGTGCGGTCCCAGTACTTGGCCAAGATCGACGTAGCGAACCAGCTTGCCGTTGTGTGCCGACGCTGGAGCTCTCCCAGTGCTTCTCGGGTGAACCCAGGCCACCCCCCAAACACCTTCAGCCAGGACCTGAGGGAGCTCACGGAGGGCAGAGGGAAGAGTCTGCTTACATAGTCATATGCTTGTGGAGAGTAATAGTGTAAGGTGGCAGCAAACTGTTTTGTTCTTTCACTGTACCTCCTGCCGGACAATTTCCTTGTGGCATTCTTCTCAAATCCCTTGAGCAGCTCCTGAGGTATTTCCCCGAATGCTTCCAGTTTTAGTTGGAGCTCGTCTGTGAGCACATGCTGGTCCCTCAGGCCCTCCACCAGGGTTTTGGGGTCCTTTATCTTTTGCTCTTTTCTTTTCAGAATTGTCTTGATTACGTGGATTTTCTTCTTAGCCGACTGTAGGTCCTTGGTCATGCACAGCCGCTTGATTTCTGGGGATTCTTGGTCGAAATTTGTGTGGTTTGTATTGGAAGATGGTCCTGGTGATGTGTCACCGGTGGTCCGTCTTGCTGGACGCTTTGTGGAAGCCTGGGAGGTAGAGATCAAGACGGCACAGTGATGTGTATACACTCTGTTTTCTTTCACTGGATGCGAGTTGAAGCCTGGATTAAAAAAAGAGCAATGAGAAACAAACACCACAAATGTTATACGTTTTTTCGGATTTACCACAATGAAGTGCAAGCAACAAGGGGATGGATGGTGTTGATTACTTTGTTTTTATTAAGACTGGTGCTTTGTTACGTACATAAAAAAACCACCCCGTTTTCAATTAGCTAGTGGCTGATTTCTTTTAAGTTTTAGTAAGTTGTTATTAAAAGGGTCATGATTCTGTGAAATATTTTACAGAATCTCAAGATATATCAATATATTTTTTCCATTTTTTTTCTCTTTTCCTTTAAATCTGTACACTTTTACAGAAAACTATCAGTTTGATGCCCATAAACCTTTTATATGCGCTCTAAAGTGCCTCTTCAATATTACGTTAGAACCGCTTCTATTTTTTAACTTGCCTACATTTTTTTCAAACAATGATGAACAAAAAGAGTTGCTGTTTTAATAAACTATGGTGCTGTTCCCATCTTTACGTGCATATTGTGTATGTGCCAACTGGCAAGCTAACTGTAGCTTTTGGCCTAAATACTAAAATCTCCTTGTATTTAGGAACTCAGAAATATCTGCAAAACGGAACAGGTGCAAGTGGGCTTTGTCATGCACATGAACAGGTTTCTTCAAAATTCTCACCCTGTGGGAGTGTTTATAAATTTTTTGGGGCATTGTAGGTGGTGTAGGTGGTGTGGGTGAGGGGATATGGCCTTGTGTGCATTTCGTGCAGAAAAGTCTGTGATGGTGTCGGTTTCAACCGTAAACCCCTTCAGTTCACATTTTAGGAAGAAAAAGGGACAGACAATGTCAGACATTGTCTGCCCCTTTTTCTTCCTACTTCACAAGTTTCCGTTTTTCAAACCAGTCTCAGGTTTCAATCATCATGTATAACTTACACCAGCTCGCCTGCACTTTAACCGTTTTTCTCAAGTAACTCTATTAGATTTCCACTCAAATTGCACGAAAATCTACTGAAGTGACTCAGCCTATTTTTTTTATGTGCACCATCGTTTTGTGCTTATTGCGTGCGTTAGACGGTTTTGGAGGTGCAATTATTTGGACTTCCAACACTTTAATCTGCAAGGTCTGGTGCCCTTTTACAAAAGAAAACTGATGCAAATCTTTTTTTCACATAAAGCAGTGAGCGCCATGATCGATGGCACACAGCGAAGCTTCTGGAGACTTTAGCAAAACCAGGGAGAAAACAGAACTGACCACACAACCGAAGGGCACATGGAAACTGGAGCCACTGAAGAGAACCCAAGAGAGAAAATCGGAGCCCAGAACATCAGAGACGGGTGCTGGTGGTAGGAGATTCCAATTCTAAAGGGCATACCCCTGGAAAGTGTCTAAAGATGAGGGTGGAAGTCGTTCCACTTCCGGGATAGGGTGCGGGTGAAGTAAGTGCAGCAGTGGTGGCTGCGGAGCTAGGCCTGAACACCACGCTCATCATCCACACCGGCCTTTTGAAAAAGATAGTGCGGCGTCTGGCCAGACATTCATACAAAAATATTCGGTGGACAGAATCTTGTGGACAACGCTCGCCATCCAAGCCGTTACATATACCAACGACGCGCTCACATACAGCGTGGCCGTGACAGTGATAAAAGGCTTGGACCGACACCAGTACGAGTTGGAAAAGTGGCTACTGGGAAGAAGCAGCTGCATGGCGAACGCAGCAGTCACGGGAGAGATGGGCTGGTCCACGCACCAAACAAGGCGAGGTCCAAGGTACACTACATGGGAAGATTGAAATTCCTCCTGCCGGAAAGCATCACGAGCAGGGTGTATTACCATATTAGGTACAAGGGAATAAAAAAAAAACTGGATAAAGGAGCTAAATGCCAGATTCCAAATTCAGCGGGAGAAAGGCCAGGGAACAGGCACCCACGGACAGAGAGAATGGACCAAAACAATTTGTGAGGAAGTAACAAAGGCCGGAACCCATCAGTGGCAGAGGGCAACCCAAAAGAAACAGAGCCTCGAGTTCTACCGAAAGCACAAGAGTGACCTAGCTCCGTACCGCCGGCAAAGTGGAGACAGAGCCAGCGCCCTGCTTTTCCAGGCAGGAACGGGCTGTCTCCTGACCCAGGGCCAGATGTGCGAGTTGTACGGGGACGACCCAGCCTGTCCACTATGCAGAGAGGAAAAAGACTATCGTATCAACCACATCGTCAGCCAATGCAAATGCCTCGAACACACCTGGAAAAATGCCTCAAGCTGCAGCTTGGAACGGTTCCTGGGACTTGTGGAGGGAAACGGAAGACAAAGAGCGCCGCGTGGTGATGTGGAAGTGACTTTGCTGCAACATGAAAACCCTCAACGGCCGTGAACTTCAGAAGTGAACTTTCATAAGGTAAAAACTATTTCATTACGACACCAGAGGCACTCTTCCAGAGTACCCGCCCTTATCTATAAAAAGTCTTGGTTCACCTTTACTTACCTACTTACCGAGGAGCTGGTGTGGGGAAATTTGCCAAGTTTTGCCAGGTCTAATGATTTCTCAGTAGACCTACCGGTTTTGCATGCTGTCTGCTGATTCCCTGATAAGAAATAAAGTCTACTGACTCTTTTTAATGGTTGAAAAAAATTTAGGGATATAGCCAGCAAACGCACGAAAAAGCATTCAGAACGAAACCATACTTATGTATTGCTCGATTCATTCATCTATCCGTCCAAAGCCGTACACGGCCAATGCAGCCGCGTGCGCGCATGCTTACGAAAACGACACGACTTTGGTTTTGCCTTTCTTCGTGCACGCATAAAGTGATCATATTCCTCAGACCCCAAAGCAGGACGGGGGGCGGCTCAAAGTTGCGACATATAGTTAACGTTAATGAATCACACTTTTTATTGTTTCAACCACACTATGTAGCATTACTTTCCCTCCAGTTTGTTTTCCTCTTAGCCAATATATACATCTAATGCTTTTGGCTAGAATGGATCCTTTTTAATAGTCCATTTTTGCTGATGTGTCCATGGTATTGTTCGCAGGTCATGTGCACATTCACCTTGAGCATTAGCAGTGCCTTGAGTGTTGCCACTTGAAGCTGTCTATTCTCTGCAATCCATATCTTGATCAACGAAGACACCCTCTCCACTTGTGCATTCGTACCTGGCAAACACAAGCAGTACTCAATGATTGCCTTCATGTTGCCGCAAGGCACATCATTTGTTTTATGAAATACTGAAGCACTTCCACCCATAGTTTCCCAACCAGTCTCCTTCTGGCTCTTTCATTTTTCCAGCTTTTTGACCGCGACATAACAAGAGACGTTGCATGCATCATCAAATAAAGCGTTCTCCTCAAAACAGACGTGGCTGGACTCAAGTGATGACTTGAGCACTTTTCTGAACATCGTCCCAAAGTGGTGCTGTGTCGAGAGAGGCTTAGGAGAGACCGCTGATCTCATCAAACTGGTTGCACTATCACTCGAGGTACGACAGGCATGTCTGATAGAAATTCCTAACTTCTGTTAGCGATCCTCTTCAAACTTCTTGTTCCTCAAGCGCAGTAATCATGGAGGTCACACTTGACGGCAAAAATCCCTGCTGCAGTCTGTCCTGGACTTTCGTTTGCAGCTGGTTTAGGGCTTTGTGGACCTCGATGGCAGTCTTCAAGTCACCTTCAATCTGCAGCACAGTCGCATGGAACAGGGCAGCTTGGCTGTGTAGGAAGTAGAGACCGAGCTATCCTCATGCATCTTCCAAAAATATCTTGATTAAAGAGGCGCATGTTGTGATTCGGAAAAAGGAAAACAGACAAACTAATATAAGAAGCAGGGCCCATGCGCGGTAAAATGACGAGATCTCACATGCCGATGAGATGTGGTGAACGGCGCAGCGGTGTGAGAAAGCCCCGGAAAGAAAGAGGCACCTGACACTTTGGAGTTCTCAAACCGTACTTTCTTTATAAGGGGTCAACAACATGGGGCTCAAACGCCCGGGGCGACTGGCCTGCGGGCACGGGCCCAATGGTGGCTGATGGTGCCACCTAACTACAGTAGATCACTTGTACTAGTGGCAGTTGGTAGTGCCATCTATTTAGTGTGGAACGTAAATAAAAAAAACTGAAATACTACATCTTTCTATTCCGTAAAAAAACAATTAGACCCATATTTTTCCCTTTCTTAGGAAAAAAAATGCAGATTTCTTTATACAAAAGCAACAAGATGTGTTATTTTTCAAGACAAAAGAACAATTATGCAGAGAAGAGAAAAAACTAGTGTAACTGAACAGCATCAGTTAAGAGTATTAAATAAAACCAAAATTAGAAAATGCATTGAAAAAATGATGCGACAAGAAATTGCAGTCACAATAGACCCCTTGCGTATAAGGGCGCCCCTAGTGCCGCGCACAGGAACTACGACCAGCCGCCATGTTTAGGTCGTCGTAGCAGACGACGCACGCCGCAGGATTGTCGCCGGCCGGCATCTCTCGCCGCGCGCAGACTTTCGCAAGCTGAGCCTTGCGCCGAGCTTCGTGTCAGCGGCTGTGTTACATTGCGGTAGACGATGGTTGAAACGTGCTGTGTGCCACTGTGCCGCCAGCGTGGCTACCGCGACGAGAACAGCAAAAAGGTAAGCCGTAGAAGTTTCTAAACAAACCCACGTGCGCAGGCGCGCACGCGATTTTTCACCCGCGTTTCACGCACCTGAACAGCCTGTGCGAGCTAGTTCGCTGCACCGTTGCCGGTGGCGCGGTACGCTTAACGTCAATAATCGTTTTCAGTAATGGATCACGAGCGAACAATGTGCTGTAGCGAAGGCTAGAAGCGCGAGCTCGTGCTGCCGAGGTGCGCCGTAGAACAAGAAGCTCGTGCTCTTAGATGCGGCACGTCGTAAGGTGAAACGAAAGTATACAAAAAACTTCGCACTGACAGATCACTTCGTGCGAGGAGCATGTGCAGTGCCTGTGAACGAGAGCGTTTCCCGAAGGCGTAGCGTATGATGCGGAGTCACTGCTGACGCTAGGACGCACATTCTAGAAGCCTCTGCGATTGAAAACCTTGAAGCGGAGAACGTGAACATATTTGCCGACCTGTTTTCCTCGTGGCTCGACGTGCAAATCCTTGCGGACGAGATGGTCCAACGGCTCACGCCAGCCAAGTTCAACAGGTTTTTGGTTGAAACAAGTGAAGAAAAAATTTCAGAAAATGATTTATACTGAACTCGTAGCACATTATTATGCTTTAGGAAGTGTAGTACAACTTAGCCAGTTGCTTCCCTCGTATTAGTAAACATGGTTTAGCAACATTTACAGCATATGTGAACTACGGGTGGCTTGAGAGTGATTGTTGGACATCTCTAATTATAGTTTTTTCTCGAACTAGGTCACATTCCACAAGTTTCCTTCTGGGAACAAACTACGGCGGAAGTGGATCCATGCTATCAGAATTGACCCTGGTGCACACTTCAGCATTCAGCAAACAACCAAGGTGTGCTCAAGGCACTTCACGCCGGACAGCTTCGTCCCCAATGTGGCAAGGGGACGACAGTACTTGAAGGAAAATGCGGTGCCTTCTCTTTTTGAATTCACCAAGAAAGTCGTGCCTCGACCGGTTCCCAACCGACAACCCCATGCAGACCAAATTCCTCGAACGAAACAGTACAGATGTGTTTTGCAGCGATGAAATGGCATCTCACCCAGACCTAAATGATGTAGGAACATCAACAAGCCAAGTTCCAGGCTGGGCGGTGAACACAGATGCACCTGCAAGCATCAGTTTGACACAAGGCAAATGCAACTGTGCCTGCACAGAAGAATTGACTCAGATGAAGCTGCAGCTGAAAGAAAAGGATGCAGAGCTTGTCAAGCTAAAGGATCAATGTAACATTCTTCTGAACTACAGCAACATCCTGAGCACAACAAAAAGAGACCTTGCACGAGCAAAGGAACAAGTAGTGTGTCTAATGCGGAGGAACGAGGAGCTGAAGAATGAACACACAGCTAAAATGCAAGAGCTCGAAAGAAAATTGTCCGAGGCAGACAAACGGAAGAAGACATTTTCGGCAGAAAGATTTAAAGACGACGACAGCAGGATCCAGTTCTACACTGGCCTGCAAAGCTACGGTCATTTTAAAGGATTACTGCAGTATGTAGCCTCAGAAAGTGATGGTGCTAATCCGGATCACCCAAGTAGGGAAGCAAGAGGTCGTCGGCACAAGCTATCTCAAGAGGACCAGCTTTTCATGACGCTTGTCAAGCTGTGACTTGGTCATTTCCACATGCACCTGGCACACATCTTCAACGTCTCTACCGGCACTGTGTCGAGGGCTTTTGGAACATGGGTTAACCTGCTCTATGTCCGGCTGTCGGAGCTGGCATGGTGGCCACCACGTGATATTGTAGACTCAACCATGCCTGAGGAGTTTAAGGCACGGTATCCAACAACACGGGTGATTATTGATGCCACTGAAGTTCGGTGCGAAGTCTCCAGTTCTCTGGTTCTGCAGTCGGGAACATACTCTCCATATAAATCGACAAACACTCTCAAGGGACTAATTGGAATTTCACCGAACGGACTTGTGAGCTTTGTTTCAGAGCTCTTCACTGGGTCAACTTCAGACAGAGAACTTGTGATCACAAGTGGGTTTCTGGAACAAGAGTTTGCACCAGGTGACACAGTCATGGCTGACAAGGGATTTAAAATCAAAGGTCTTTTGGACAAGAAAGTTATTGGACTGAACTTGCCACCGTTTCCGACGAAGCAACAGTTCAGTGTTGCAGAGGTGCGAGAAACGGCGGACATTGCTTCTTTGCGGATTCACGTAGAGAGGAGAATCCAGCGCATTAAGACTTATCATATATTTGACAGAATTGTTCCCCTCTCTCTTGGTCCCATAGTTAACCAGATGTGGACTATTTGTGCTCTTCTGAGCAACCTTCAACCCTCTATTTTAAAAGAAGTGGATTGAGCCAATGTATACATGTTTGTTTGTTTATTTGTACAAATCAATATTGAGAATTGAAACAGAAGCTTAAGGCTGAGCAGCCTTAAGTCCGTTCTACTTACAAAAATCAAAAGAAAAAATATTTACATGTATAAACTTTACAGGGGCACTGAAGTCATTTTTGAGATAGTCTTTTTATGGTGATAACTCAATCTACACACTTTAAAGGGGCCCTGAATCATATTTAAGCGTCTACCTTTTTTGCGGTTTCCACGTCTCTTGGGGTTCGGGCAAAACAGCGGGCACGGAGAGAGTAACTAAATATCAGTGTGTCATATTTTAACCGGACGACGCGGAAACCTCCTCCACCGACGAGGGCGACCCGCGGTACCGAAAGCGCGCAAAATGTGATGTCTTTGGTCCTGGGCTTATTACTGGTCAGAGCCGCTAAAAGCTTCTTTTTAGTCGAAACCCAAAATATAAGTGGTGCGAACCGTTTCAATTATTTATGAAAGTAGTTTTTGTTCAGTATTTTAGATCAGAAAAGAAACGAATGCAGTTCATAAAGTATGGAAACAAGAAATAACCCGTCGACATACCCGCCACCAAGCGGTGGAAAAGGCGGCGCATACTAGAAAGGAGTAGTGGGATCAGGCGTCGACACGGAAAGGTCCCGGATGAATGCGGCGGCACTGTGGTCATATGGACAGGAGGATCCGACCGGCTCTAAGCGTTCCGAAGGCCTTCGGCGAGAAGCTTTGTCTTAAGGTTTGGCCGTTTCGCGGTATGGCAGCGCAAAGTGGCACCCATTCTGAACTGATCTTTACCCCGTGTTTCCTGTCGTTTGTGGCCAATGAAGTGTCATGCCGAATTAGTATTTAATCGCGCAGCGAATGCAATGAGAGCCGCTCCAGCTGCCCGCTGCACACAGCCTATCCAAAACATGCTTTAGTGGCACCCTCTCGCGCCGTCCACAAGGAATGCGGCAGCCGTGAGCGCTCGATAAGCTCACTACCCCTCCTTTAGTTCACGACCACTCTCAAGCAACCAAGGACGTCATGAGGAGGTTATTTTTTGCTTGTTTTTGTAATTTTAATTTGCCTATAACTTTTAAAATAAAGGGAATTTCGAGAAAAGAAAAGTTGCACTAAGTTACTACGTTCAGTGTGCTCAGGTTCGGTGCAAATTAAAAACCACTAAAAAAGTCCTTGCAGGGCCCCTTTAAGGATTCTAAAACCCCAAAATTACAATCCTGCTTGGCCTGTTTCCCACTAAAACGTTCTCAAAGATCACCGACATGCCCTTTCTCATGGGATATTTGTTCAGAGTGAAGTGGTTGACGAACGCGATTGTCGGCCAACTGCAAGCGATGGCTTCCCCTGCGGCCAGAAAATAGTTATCAGAATGTGTGCGTATGACTCTTTTCAAAACGAGTTATAATAAAATTGCTTAGGATCTATGCTTATTGTACGACTTTCCTTGGGCCAGAGAATGTGGACCGCAGTTTTGTATACTAGAACTTGATATATAAAGTAGCTAACACCTTGCAAACTATATAACAAAAAAAAATTACCTTCTTTAAAAATGACTTCAGTGCACCTTTAAGGGGGCCCGGTAAATTTTACCAGCTTCTCTTTACGACTTTGCTGCAAAGTATGGCAGAAGAGTAGTGAAATAAAAGTTGTCCAAGCACTCTTTTATGTCCTCCCAAATATTCTTGTCAAACCTGATCCTCTGAATGGTTAGGAAGTTGTCCTCATAAAGAACATAGTCTACCCACTTGAGGTTTGTTACCCCCATCTGTCCTACCACTTGAGCAAAGTGGGGGTGCTCTGTCTTGATATGCGGACGGTTCGAGCTGTCAAAAGTAACACTAATGTTACTTGCGAGCAGTGTGTCGCAATCTGCATTCCTCAAGGAGTAGAGGCACTTTACTTCTACACATCCCCATGGTGGTTGTTCTGTTGCGTCGTACACAATTGCATCTGGAGTTGCTCCGAGCCATGGTTGGTCAGGATCCACGAACAGCCCCGCACTCGACAGATGGACGTCTCGGCCCCTGCTCTTTAAAACGTCCTCGTAGCGTTGCAGTGCTTTAGGCTCGTTGACAATCCCATACCTAAAAAAAGTAGATACACAATACAAAAAATTCAAATTAAGTAATATACAATGTTTATTTCATTCTTCAAACTAGATCAGCACGTCGTTAGAAGTTACCACTACAGAACCATTGGTTTTTCATCGTAAGGCATAAAATACTGTTAAATGAAAGACCTACGACAGCATGCTGTGGGCCTCTCTCTATCAGTATGAAAATAAGACTATTTCATGTCGGACAATTATGTGAGAGGAGCGGGTGGTTCAGGCTGTCGAGTGTCGCGATTGTGGCAGTTATTGGTAAAAAAAAAATATGGTGAAGAAGGATAGCGGGTACAAAGGTATCTGTAGCAGCATGCCAACTTGTGGCAACAGAGGTTTCCCTCGACTGGCAGGCAGCAGAGCCTGCCAGGATACACCTGTTATAACATGACACTGCTGGTGTACTACCACCAGTGTTGCAATAGGGGAAAAGTACATTCAATTCTGACGTCACCAGGCAGAAATCGAGGGACCAGAATTAAAGATGTGGTTTCACATAAAGCCGCTCAACGAGTTTTTTTTTTTTTTTATCAGCGTTTCTTTTACAAGCAGCGTCAAGGGTGCCAATGCACGAGACATATATCTTGAACAACCCTTGGAAAGAAGTAACGGCAATGCACTGCCAGAGCTATCAAAACGCCATGTTATTTCATTAAGGCATGCACCTCGCACATTCACAGAACAATGAATGACTGTACTATTAAAACTGACAGAAAGCATGGATTTTATCGAGCGGCTTTAGGTACACATACCGGTCGAAGATATGTTCCAGGCACCATTTCTCTGCCTCTCCCAGTAGGCTTTGTACAATCTACTGGCAGCTGAATTCGTCCCCCCAGAAAGCTCTCCCATAGCATTAGCAACAGTTTCTGGACCAAAGAAACCTAGGGGAGGTCATGCAACATGCAAAACATTGTTTCTGCGAATTTGCTTAATTGATTTTGAAATGCTACGCTCACCGGATGGCAGGAACCCTGGACAAATCCTTTGTTGAGGTCAGGTTTGCCAGTCCCTTCTCTGTCCACTCGCCGTGACGATGTACGGTGCCAAAGTTCGATGCAGTCAGGCGGTACTGCCTTGCCTGAAGCCAGGTAGCACTGTCGCGCTGCCTCCGCGAGTTCTTCTCAAGGTCTTGTGCTTCAAGTGGCGTCAGTGTTATTTTCTGAAACAAGCAGAATTACATTAACAAGTTTAGACAAGAACACAGTGATGTGAACACAAATCTTCTCTGAAACTCCTGGCTTCCTGTCTTTGTTAAAACATTTTTTCCAAATTATTATAGACCAGAGGTGTGCAAAGCGGGGACTGCCGAGTAATGTCTTAGGGTCGCACAGCCCCAGAAAGGTTCTGGAAAATGTATGTGCACGAAACAAGCACAGAAATAACCATCCCTGAAGTAAAACCGAAGGTAAACGTAACGGGACCAGAGTGTGGCCCTTATTGTACTTCATCCCACTAGTTGCTTGCAGTGCAGGTGAAGGCAGTGCGGGCCAAGGGGAGAAAGGGCAAGCACTACGAAGGGAAGAGAAGATAAACCTCTTCTCCTCTCCAATGTTCTTAGTGCTCGCCCTTTCTCCCCTACTTGTGAGACAGAGTATGAGTATGTCAGGGGGCAGGGGGGGTTACCGAACGGCATTGTGATGCTTGAGGTGTCGCAGTCTGAATATGTCTTGGCATCTGTTGTGAGCTACCACCCACACCAAAAAATGTTATTTACATTATCTTAAACTATAGAGACCTAAAATGCAATAGTCTATAAGCTTCCATTGCATGGCAAAAGACCCCATTATCTTTTACAGGAGAAAAAGCATCTGCCTCAAGCACTGTCGTAATAGTTTAAATAATATTCGATTCTAGAGTGATAGTCTAACAGATGGTCTGCGGTTTCTCTGTCCTCCCAATGCACACACAGCAGGTGCACTCGAAAACACTGCGCAGTCTGGAAGCACTACACCCTGTGTTCGGCGTTTGCAAGTGAACCTGCTATGTCGGCGATGGGAGGACGGAAAAACCACGGACTTGTTATAGCTAGGTGTGATTAAGGGTGTACAGTGCTCTTGCTATATAAACATTGTGCACTGAAATGGAGTATGGTTGGTCGTTTGAGACACCACGCAGCGGTAGTAAAGTTTATAAGTTGAAATTACGCTCCCAGTATGTTAGGAAAAAGTGAACACAAAGCTAACCTCTAACAGAAGCCTTGCCTTCGTGCTGACACCATCCGAAACAGTCCACTCGTCGCTTTCAAGAAAAGACACCATTTCTTCTAGTGGCCGCCCGATGTTCAGATGGCCAGGTGCCTCCAGCTCCTCAAGATGCAAAATCCAAATGGGACAAGTGTCTGCTGGTAGGCAAGTGGAGAGCAAGCAAGCACATCGCCGCACTTGGAGCTGCACAATTGTGCTCGATCTGCAGCTCCCAACACTGCTACCAAGGAGGTCTTCCCGTCCAGCTGCTGCAAACTGCTTGCGAATTGGAGCGCGGCGCTTTTCTTTTGGCTGACAGTACGCTCCTTAGCCTTGCTGAGGTCCAGCCGACATGAGCGCGGCAAGTCTTGTCGTCTTTTGCCCACCCTCCGCCAATCTACACCCTGCACGCTTGAACCTTTGATGACCTGGCCCCTCGGACTTCTCCAACGCTGTGGCAGATCTGTGCATGACAGATGTGCTGGGGCCTTGGCGAATCCCTTGCCTTGGATCAAAATTACCGTCTTCAGGACGGCCTGGAGGTGGCTCCAGGCTTGCTTCCCAGCTGGGCACTCGCAATATCCGTTAACAAGTTCACCGTCCTTGGTGATGGTGGCGCTCACGGTGTAGGGTGGCTGTGTTTTCTTGTGGCTCCTGAAGCATCTGGCTCTCAAGAAGAATCTGGAGGCCCTTTAAATGACAATGATAAGCGATAAGCACCTGTTCCCAATCATTACGGTCCTGACCATTTCATATGAGGCACACCGCGCCATCTCATGCAGGGCACGGCAAAATGTGAAATACATTATCAGTGTTAGATATTTCTGAGAGAATGTGCCAGTTTGAAAGCTGCAGCCTGATACATGGCTGCGCGTGCGAATCGCTACACAGCTCCCGATTTGGGCGAGCCTGTTCTGCGGCGCAAGCCAAGTGACGGTCTGGCGTCGCTCGAATCGAGGCGCCTAGCTTCGTTTTCACAGGGGCACACAGCTCAGCTTGCACCGCCCGACTAGCCCTCGCGTGCAAACACGTCGTAAAACGGGGCGCGCACGTGAGCGATATGGCGAGCGATGGGTTATGCCATCGCTCGTCGCGTTGCTCGGTTCTGGATTTCCCGAAAACCTCTCCCACCGCCCGGAAGTCGCTTGCATGCAGTTTGCCTCGGCGAGGAACAGACCGAGCGAAAGTGAGTCCTCGAAGAGTCGCCAGTGCAAGACAACCGTCACATGTGTTCACCCGACAACGCTATAATGTTGATCTCAAGGTTCGCGCTCCCCCCCCCCAGAAAACACTTATAACCACTCACATTTCTTCGTCGTAGTTGGCGCACACTGTCGACGCCACGACGTAGCTCTCCGTAACCAACTTGTAGCTCCGGCGAGCTCCCTTCTCGGTTCCCGAGCAGGACGCCAGGCGGGCAAGGTCCAGAGACGAGATTCGCGGCAGCCGAGCCAAGTTGCTCGTCCATCCAGTCGTGGGGTAGACGCCATCGCTCATGACGGGGCACGCTGGGGGCACGCACGTACGCCGCAAAAGCACGGAATGCTCACGTTGGCGGTTACCTCACGGTACGGAAAGAGGCGCCGAGACTGCTGACCTAAACATGGCGATTTCTGTCCCATGATGCAGTGCAAATCGAAACTGACGAAAAGTTCGCCGTCAGGGTGCGCAATTGTGCATGGGGTCTATACAGATACCGTCTCATAAGGTCAAAGCTTTAAGGGCAGAATAAAACCAAATGGAGCAAAAAGAAATTGGGCAGAATGAAACAAAATATGGGCACAACACTGGGAGAAGAGCCAGTTACACAGCACTTGCTGCATGTTACGAGAAAAGCAAAACCGAACACTTCACACAAAAAAATATTTGCTGACATGTAGAAACACTGAAAATTGTCACATCCTCTCAAATTGTCTTTGTACGCACTACACATACAAAACAAATTCACTGAGGTTGGCTATGAGTAGTGTTCGGTAGTTCATGTATGCACTTGTTGAAATTAATCTAGAGTTCCTTCAGTGTGAGGCTGGCATCATGCCAGTTTAATAAATAGTCTTTAAATCGTTCTGGCAACCTGCGCAAGGGGTGCGGACGGCCTTGATGCTGGGGGGTTGAATCATCCACATCTCGGGGCTCGGGAGGCTCCAGTCTAGGAGATAATGTGGGTTGTGTCGTGACTGGTGGTGTCGAAGACACACTCATAGGCGATGGCACTGGCACTGTTGGACTGTCACAGAAGGCGCTGGAAGGAGCACCCTCAGTAGCTGTCTCTGTGCAGCTGGATGACCAGCTGGCGTTTGACCAGCTGTTGTCTGCCGACGTCCCAGGAGACAAGTTTTGCTCAGGTGCCAGAGCATTCTTCTCAGGCACAAGTAGCTCTTTCTCAGGAGGACCCTCGGTAAGGGGACCTTCAGCTGCAGCAGGATTTTCAGGAAAAAGAGGGGAACCCTCGGAACTTAGACCTGAGGCCGGACATTGACCCTCGAGATCTGAATACGTGGTGTCCGGGCCGGCCGGACCAGGAACAGGCGGCTCCGGAAGAGCCGGCAGGGCTGCAGGCGAAACAACTGGAGTGGAAGGGAGGGGGGGGTTGAGGGAGAACAGATCCTCCTAAAACTAGGATGCTCTAGTTGTAGGTTGAAGAGTCATGTGAGTTAACTTGGAAGCATGCCAGGTGGATCCACCGTCCAGCCGGTACGTAGCTGGACACACTTGGTCTTGGATCAACGAAGGAGAAGCATACTTCATCTGCAACTTGCCTCTGTGACGAGGTTCGCTCACCTTAACGGTCTGTCCAGGAATGAATGTAGGTCCCTTGACAGTGTGTCTTCTGTCTGAGTACATCCTCATGCATTCTTGGTATTTCTTGACTGTGTGTGGGAGCCTTTCTTGAACTCTGGACCTTGGAAGTTGGGGTTCGGGGGTTGGATACCCCGAAAGATGAAGATGGTTGCGATGGTTCCTGCCGTGAAGCAAGAACGCAGGAGTCTCTCCCGTCGCACCGTGACGAGTGCTACGGTACACTCCCAAGTATTCCGTGACGGCTTCTTAGAGGTTTCGTCACTGTACGACAGCCAAATGAATGGTGGACTTCGAGACGTGGGTAAAGCGTTCCACCCGCTTATGCGCTTGAGGATGGTGCAGGGATGCCCTGACATGACAGATACCATGAGTCTTCATGAATTCTGTGAATTCTTTACAAATGAACTGAGGACCATTGTCAGCGACTATTTCTTCCGGTAGCCCCTCTTGTGCGAAGACCAACTTCCGGAAGTCTATCACCAACGTAGTCGTGACGTTGTGGACACTCATCTCCTCTGGCCACTTGATGTGCTAGACCACAAGAGTTATAAAAAAAACATTTGTTGCGTGGAGCACACCCAAATGGACCAACAATGTCCACGCCTAACTTCGTCCAAGGACGAGATGGAAAGTCAACTGGCTGTAATGGCATTCAGTATGTCTTCACAGGTTTGGTCCTTGTGATCCCTCGATGAGTTTCGTGCGCTATCTCGATGACCTGGTCACGCAGACTGGTCTGCGCACGACAATCTTTGCTGCTTGAAACAGCAACCCATCCAGCTGCGAGAGCTGTTCTCAGACGGCACAGTAGGGCTTAAACCCTGGAGGCAGCTTGTCTTCAGCTGGCCATGTCGACAATATGTACTGCATGACTTTCGGTACAATTCTACCTGGACAACCACGTCGTCCAGGTAGAACCGTACGCCGGGGCAGTCCTAAAGGATTTTTGAGACGAGTTGCTGGAATACAGCCGGCGCAGAGGCCAGGCCAAAACAAACTTGCTTGAAGCGAAAGAAACCCTCATGCGTGATAAACGCCATGAGGTCTCGACTTTTAGGGTCAAGTAGCACTTGATGATAAGCTGACGCAAGGTCAAGTTTGGAAAAACAAGATGCTCCTTTGACCGAGTTCAATAGCCCGTCAATATGCGCAAGAAGGAACAAATCGATCACAACCACCTGGTTGGGAGCCCAAAGGATTACACACATGTGGATACTGCCGTCTCTCTTCTTGTTGACTATGATCGGCAAGTGCTTGTTGAACAAGCAACGATGTCTCCTGCTGCAATCACCATGACGTGGTTTCTCAAAACTGTTTTTAAGTGGTTCCGACTAATGACCTCTCGTAACAAGAGCCTTGCAATGAATGAGCTTAATTCTCAGAAACACGACGAAGCCATAAAGTTCCTGAGCGAGGTGCTGGATCTCTTCAAGACGACCATTCATCTGCCAGGCAAGAGCTCTTCCTGCAAGACGGTACGGACAGGGTTTCGCGATTTCGACAACCGCAGCTCTCTTTGCGGAACCTGTATTTGACCAAGAACAACTTTAAGTTGTTCTTGGTCAACCTCTATTTGACAAAGAACCGTTATGTGAACCTGTATTTAACAAAGCACAACTTTAAGTTGATCTTTCTTTAAGAACCTGTCGCTCAGCCGACTGACCCAAGACGCTCTCGAAAACATTTTCAGTGTGATTAGGCAAACAAACGCAATCTCCCAACCTCCCCAGCTGAAAATATAAAGTGGTATTTCAAGTGGTACCACTTTCATTCAAGTGGTACCACTTGAGTTCGAAATGGTACCACTTGGGTTCGAAATGGTACCACTTGGGTTCGAAATGGTGCCACTTGGGTTCGAAATGGTACCACTTGGACTGCAAGTGGTGCCACTTGAGCTGCAAGCGGTGCCACGTGGGCTGCAAGCGGTGCCACTTGGGCTGCAAGCGGTGCCACTTGGGCTGCAAGCGGTGCCACTTGGGCTGCAGGTGGTGCCACTTGTGCTGTAAGCAGTGCCAGTTAGGCTGCAAGCGGTGCTACTTGGACTGCAACTGGTGTCTGTCTGGCTGCAAGCTGACTTCACTGAAGTGGTTTAAAAAAATTTGATTGTCAAGTTGTACCATTGCTACTTGAATTAGACTGCTACTAGTATAGGATCGCAAATAGTCTCAGTGCATTCATGCCCACAATAAATTAGATAATAGCTGGTGTTATCCCTCTTGATCCTGTTCTATTCAAAATATAATTTAATGATTTTTTGGACTCATGCTAGGTACAGCATGAGCATATTCTCATTTGCATCTAGCTTCTAACAAACATAACTTACATTACCCCATGCCAAAACTTCCATTGATAGGCCCTTACTACTTGAATATTCGGTAAACGAGGAGAGAGTGATATCGTAGACTAGATAAAAATAAGTTCACTGCACTTATTTAACAACTGCAAGCACAAACTAAGTTCTCTTTATAAAGAGAGGTCGGTGTTACCAAAAACAATCTTTTATTAAAAGTGGCCATACCAGCCGGGTGCAGCCGTAGCTTCCACCATGGTACGGCGAAACTAGCGCCGCTTGGCGCTGCGGCAGCCTCACAAACTAGGTCTGGGTTGTAAATAACTTGCAGATGGCGCCACGGCGCCACTAAAGCGAACAGCTATCACCATCATCAGCCTGCTCACCTTTCTCCCCTTTCGCCGTCCCCCCCTCCTGTCTTTTTTTCTTTTTCTCGGTCGTTCCTTTTTTTTTGCATGCGTGTGTTTTATTGTAGGACACAGCGCGAAAGTCAGACGAGGGACAAAGAAGAAACACACGGGACGAGCGCTCGTCCCGTGTGTTTCTCCTTCGTCCCCATCTGTTTTTCGCGCTGTTTCCTACGATGAATTCCCAACTCGCTCAACTATCCATTCTTCTGCGTGTGTTTATCGAGCGTGCGTGTACGATGATGGGTGGTGATGCGTGTTGAGATTTAGCGTACGGCGCGCGAGCGTGCGCTTGTTTAGAGCATCGCTTTTTCACACTGTAAACACGGACGTCGCTTGATGCAGACATCTGTGTTTGCTGTATTTTTATCGATGCCTAACAACAAGCACACTGCACACAGCCTCGCCAAGGAAACGTCATAAAACCGGAAGATTGGATCAGACGCATTTTATTTGAACTTATTTCACGTTTTAAGAATTCCCAGGTATTTACAGAATTGAGAGGAAATTTACAGGAACACAGAAACAATGAATAAATCACCTTTATGGTAAGATGAAGAGCGCAGATACATAAACATGTAACATGTTACATCATACACAAATAATTCAAATAATTGCTTTCACTGACATCTCGCCATCTTTCCATTATTATTTACATATTTTACACATTTACTAAATTGCTGCATAAGTCTTAAACAAGCAGTTTTCACAAATAGCACATCTAATTTATTTAAGCTGTAACCCACGACATTCAATAAAACATTTACAAGACATTATAAATGACTCACGAAAAAGGATTCTAAAACTCCAGTGCAAAGCATTCGAAAGTTTTTTTTGTTTTTTTTTGTATATACAATGCATGTGTCCCAATGAATAAGCAACCTTAAAAGGACCATATAAAATATGCAGGGAAGTATCTACAGGATTTTAAGTAACGAATATACACACCATGCAGGTTGCGCACACCCAAAAAAAAAAAATTCACACCTCGAGCAAGATGAAAACAAGCCGTAACGAAATTCCCGTAGCAAAAGAAAAAAAGAAAGGGCGATTAAGCCGATAATTGTTTACGTTTCCTTTGTTCGGGTTTTTTAGGGGTGTGAAGCTTGAGGAGCTCTCGATTTATGTCTCGAATGTGCCAGCGCAAGCGCACATTCACATAGAGACTGAGGAAGTGCACTGTGCATGCCCTGGAGCAAAATTGATGTTCCAAATGGGACTCCAGGACATGTACAAGGCGCTCGACAACCTTTGTCATGTG